GAGACATGAAGAAGAGGAGACATGGAGAAGAGGGGACACAGTGTTGATGTAGAAGGAGACCTGAAGAAGAGGGGACACATGTGATGTAGAAGAGACATGGAGAAGAGGGGACACATGTTGATGTAGAAGAGACATGAAGAAGAGGGGACACATGTTGATGGAGAAGAGACATGAAGAAGAGGGGACACATTTTGATGTAGAGGAGACATGAAGAAGAGGATTTTGCATAATATGTGACCTTTAACCTCTGTCGAATATTGTCGATGTATACAAAAGAACTGAAGGAGAATTGAGATAAATCACCAAACATGTTTCAGCAATCAAGACAATGACAAAAAGCTAATGTTGGGCTATAAAGGAACTACAGCACGGTCACATGACTTCACGTCACCACCGCTAAGCTAAAGGAGGCTAATGTTGGGCTATAAAGGAACTACAGCACGGTCACATGACTTCACCACCGCTAAGCTAAAGGTGGCTAATGTTGGGCTATAAAGGAACTACAGCACGGTCACATGACTTCACGTCACCACCGCTAAGCTAAAGGCGGCTAATGTTGGTCTATAAAGGAACTCATTGTTTGTTTTTTGGGATTAAGTCTAAAATAAATGCAATTTAAATGTACTGCATGATGCTATAAAGTCACACACAACTTCAAGTCTTCATTAAAAACTCACCTGTTCACCGTGGCCTTTGACCCCTAACCCTTTGACCAATCACAGCCCCCTGCTTCCACTCCTACTGCTATTTCTTTAATTTGTAGTTCATTATTTGCCCTTCTTGTTTGTTTATTTGTTTGTTTGTTCAGACCATGTAAAGCGGCCTTGGGTCCCTTGAAAGGCGCAATGCAAATTAAATATTAAATATTTTATTATTATAATAATTATTATTATATCATAACAAAACACCAGAAAAACATAAAGTAAAATACCAAATAAAGAGATTCCTCACCTCCAGCGGGGGCTCCAGACATGAAGGTGAATCTGCTCTGATGTTCACAGAGTCTCTGGGTATATCAGGCGACTCCATGTCACCTCCTCCTCCTCCTCCTCCTCCTCCTCCTCCCTCTCCTCCTCCTCCTCCAGACCTCCAGGGGGACCCCCCAGCGCTGCTCCTGTCCATGCCCAGGATCAGAGGGTTGTGTTGGGGGGACCTCCCCTCCATGTTGCCCCCCATCAGCTGCCTCTCCAGCTCTAGCTCCGCCTCCAGCTCCGCCTCCTCCTTGGCCTCCTTGTTGCTCTCCTCCAGGTGCTTCATCAGGACGGCGATGACCACGTTAACGAGGACGAACTGAGCGGTGAGCACGAAGGAGACGAAGTAGATGGGAGAAACGACGGTGTTGTAGCAGGTGGTTATGGAGTCCTGCCCGCAGTCCCTCAACGTGTCCTGGAACCACACGGAAACATCATCACATTTATCAGAGGGAAATCAAGTGACTTTTCTGTTCGATTTTGACCTTTTTCTGAGAATTTGACTTTTCTTCTGAGAATTCTGACTTTTCTGAGAATGTTGACTTTTTTACCAGAATTTGACTTTTCTTCTGAGAATCCAGACTTTTCTCAGAATGTTTACTTTTTTCTGAGAATTTGACTTTTTTACTGAGAATCCAGACTTTTCTCAGAATGTTGACTTTTTTCTCAGAATTTGACTTTTCTTCTGAGAATTCTGACTTTTCTGAGAATTTGATTGTTTTCTGAGAATTTTGACTTTTTTACTGAGAATCCATACTTTTTTCTCAGAATTTGACTTTTTTCTGAGAATTTGACTTTTTTCTGAGAATTTGACTTTTTTCTCAGAATTTGACTTTTTTACTGAGAATCCCGACTTTTCTCAGAATGTTTACTTTTTTTCTCAGAATTTGACTTTTCTTCTGAGAATTCTGACTTTTCTGAGAATTTGATTGTTTTCTGACTTTTCTCAGAATGTTGACTTTTTTTTACCAGTATTTGACATTTCTTTTGAGAATTCTGACTTTTCTTAGAATTTGAATTGTTTTCTCAAAATTTGACTTTTTTCCTGAGAATCCAGACTTTTCTCAGAATTTGACTTTTCTTCTAAGAATTCTGACTTTTCTGAGAATTTGATTGTTTTCTCAGTATCTGACTTTTTTTCTGAAAATTTGCAAGTTTTTCAGAATTTTGACTTTTCTCATATTTTTCTGAGAATTTCACTCTTTCCTCAGAAATGTGACTTTTTCCTCAGAATTGTGACTTATTTCTTCAAAATGTGACTCTCACAATTTTTTCTCTCTTTGAAAAATAGTTTCTAATCTCATGTTTATCTTCACCATCAGTTAGTCTTACCTTCATTATGCCGTTCCAGTTGTCTCCAGTTGAAACTCTGAAGAGCAGCAGGAAAGCCATCCCAAAGTTTTTGAAAGTAGCGTAGCGTCCGAGACCTTCACATGGATGTAGCTCATCACAAACTGTGGAGAGGAGGAAGAGGAGGAGAAGGAGGAGTGAGGAGGGGATGAAGAAGAGGGGGAGGAATGAAGATAAAGAGAGTTGAAACAACAACTTTGCAGTTAAATGTTATTTAGCTAAACGAGAGAAATCAATATGGCTTTTCAACAAAGCAATTACCATCACATGGATTAAAGCCACGGAGGCATATCGTTAAATACTGAATGCAAGTGTGAGCGTTATGCATGTGTGTGTGTTCATGTGTGTTCATGTGTGTGTTCATGTGTGTGTTCTAGGGGTTTCACCAACTAATCGACTACCTTTACCACTAGTCGGCGCTGTAGGCCCTAGTCGACTAGTCGTGAAAAAAATTGAGGTAAACGAGGTGCTGCAAAATGCTCCAAAACACGTCCGACATTCTTATGTATGGCAGTACTTCAACGAAGATGTAACCAACTCCACAGTGAAGTGTCAGTTGTGTACAGCTGTACTGAAGTACAATACAAATGCATCTGCTATGCGCAACCATCTAAAGATGAAACACCCGCTGCCGACAGCTAGCACTAGCAGTAATGCTAGCACCAGTGAGCAACGGACCGGCGTCAGCACTGAACTGAGGCAAACGAACAGCAAGAAAACACGGGTCAACAGTGATGCGGATGATGAGCTACGGGATTACTGCCAGCGGACACCGCATATCCCCACAATGGATAATCCACTGGAGTGGTGGGCAGAAAACGTGCACCGCTTCCACCGCTTTCGAGGAGCTACCTGGCTATTCCAGCCACAAGCACCCCGAGTGAGAGGGTTTTTTCCCTGGCAGGCAACACTGTCACCCGAAAGCGGTCAAGCCTCCTTCCCTCACATGTCGATGCGTTGGTGTTCAAACCAAAAATATGGAAAGGTGGACGTTATCGTGGAGGACAGCGAATAAAGTGTTGCGCAATGCGCTGTTGCGCACTGGATTTACGTGGCATTTATGTAAACAAGAGTTTTTTGCTGTCGATTTTGGTGAGTCCATTTACTGTTTGTTATTTACTCAGCCATGTAACACAAATTAAAATGCAGTGTTTAATGTTACTGTATGAGTTCCAATAGAAAATACAGTTGTAAACCTCTCTTTGTGTGTCTTTATTATGACGCAACGACTAGTCGATTAGTCGACTACTATTTTGAAAAACTAGTCGACTAGTAAATATTGGTAGTTGTGAAACCCCTAGGACAGGTGTCTTTTATACTGATAACGAGTTCAAACAGGTGCCATTAATACA